CAACTTATCGACAAACATTTCCCACCAAATACTATACTCTCCAAGATATTCAACCGACACACAATACGCGTAAGCTACAGCTGCGGTGAAAACATGAAAACTTTCATAACCAGACACAACAAGACTATTTTAAAAAGACTTAACCCAGACACAACCCAGAACAAGAACAACCCACCAAAGAAATGTAACTGCAGACAGAAACATCTATGCCCGACAAATGGCAATTGCCTGAAACCCAACGTGATTTACAAAGCCGACGTGACAACGACTGACAACAACGAAACAAAAACTTACATAGGTGTTACTGCATGCGCTTTTAAGACACGATATCGAAACCACATTAAATCAATTACGAACATTAAATACCGCAACGAGACAGAACTTTCTAAATACACGTGGACACTGAAAGAAAACAAACGTAACTACAACATTAAATGGGACTTCATCAAACAACTTCCACCTCCGAACAAAAACCAAAGAACCTGCCGTCTTTGCCTTGAAGAAAGGCTACTTATCCTGAAAGGACGTAAAAAGAACATTTTAAATAAACGTTCCGATATGTTTAGTGCATGCCGTCATGTAACTTAACACCTTTTAGTCGATGTATATAGTCAGCAAATAAAATATTATCTGTCAGTTGCCTGAAGATCGCCCTACGGCGTGAAACTCTGAGTAGCGACAGCAAACAATTGTCCATTTTATTTTATTTTAGTTCATTTTATCTTACGCTCTTCTAATATATAGAATATTGCGCTCTTTTATCCAGGAATATTATCCATAATAATATATATATATATATATATTCCTAATTTTAAGTGTTTAACATGCTACAATACTTCTGTTTCATATCATCTGAAAGAACGTGTTCCAAGGATTTTAAATATATCTTTATTATTTTCTGGCCCAAATTTGTTGAGCAAATTTACAGCTTAGAAAATACTTAAGACTTTAGCATTAATATTCTCGCTATTTCACTGATGCGTATATTTATGCCTGATTATGAAGCAGTTAACATGCTACAATATACTTCTGTTTAGTATCATTTAAAGATCTTGTTGTGAAGAGTACAAATATGTTTTTATTATGCTGACCCAAATTTGTAGAGTGAATCTACAGCTTAGAAAATACTTAAGATATTTGTGTTAATTAATATTTGCTGTACTTAACTGACATGTATATATATATGCCTGATTTTGAAGAAGTTAACACGCTGTAATATACTCGTGTTTGGTATCATCTTTATATTCGTCTACTGAGGATTACAAATATGTTTTTATTATCGTTGTCCAAATTTCTGTAGCTAATCTACAACTTAAAAAATACTTGAAACTTTTGCAATAGTTACTATTTGCATTATTTAATTGACATGTTTATATGATATATACTTGATTTTAGAGTAGTTAACACCCTGCAATATATTTCTGTTTAGTATCCTTTTAAAGATCTTGTTCTGAGGATTACAAATATGTTTTTTTATCCTAGCTCAAATTTGTAGAGCGAATCTACAGCTTGGAAAATACTTGAGACTTTTGCATTAATTAATATTTGTGATATTTAAAGCCCGCCGCACACTAGCCTACTTGCTGCGCGTACTTGTTATTCGTGACAAGTTGGATCGACAAAAATTCCAAGTGTGCACGGAAGTTTCGAACAACATTTGTCATTCGTGACAGATATAAACCCATTGCATTTACGTCACATTTTTGCAACGTCACCGCCGGAAGTTATGTTCTGGGGGTCAATGGCATTGTATTCTCTATTCAATGTATTCTCTATTCTATGATTGTGGCAAGCCAATGATTTATTCTATAAGCAATACTGTGTGAAAGGTCCAATTTAGTAAAAATGCCTCCAAAAAAACCAACTCATAAAGGTTTCCTGCCCGGTTACTACGCTAGTATAAGGTCAAAAGAATGTAGGGAGAGATATGAGGCAAAAATTTCATTGATACATTCTGTTGACCTATACGAGATACCAAAAAACGACTGGGAAGATTGTGTGGAATTGTGGCCGAATGTTTCTTACATAAACGTGGGCATGTATTTATTGTTTTCAGTAAGCTCATACACACAGGACGAGCTTATGAACTACAAAAGTCTTTTGTGCTACCAGAACTTCGCGAATGGCTGGGTTCGAGAAGTTTTGGTAAAAGAATTTGGCGATAATCGGCTGATGATTGCGAAGGTATGTGTGTTCATTAATTATCTTCACTTTTCATAAGCGATATCTGCTTCCATTTCTAATAGATAAATGTGAAACGCTAAATTTATTACATTTAAAAATTAGCAATGATTTGTTCAAACACCCTCCATATTTCTTATCAATCATTTGTTGCTATCTAGGTAAATCACTCGCAAAAAATGTATGAGAAGCAAATGACTCCATGGGTTATCTGTGAGAAGGAAGGGAAGATTTTATCTGGTCACTGTGATTGTATTGCTGGTTTAGGGGAAAGCTGCTCCCATGTAGCATCATTGCTATGGGCTTTAGAGGCTGGTGTCAGAAAAAGGGACTCTCTTACTGTCACTGACAAAAAAGCCTACTGGGTCCTTCCCTCAGCCGTAAAGAAAGTGCCATATGCAAGAGTAAGACACATCTGCTTCTCAAAAAATGGAGCTTCAACATCTCCCACAGCTATTTCCAAAACAATTCCTCCGCTTCCACCTACAGAAAGTGAACTGTCAAAGTTTTATGCAGCATTACAAGCTACTGAGTCAAAACCTGTGATACTTTCCCTAGTTAAGGAATTCTCTGACCCATTTGTTCCACAGTCCTGTTACCCTGATTTGCCAATTGTGATGTCTAATATTTATGACAAAAGCTTGTTAGGTGCTGACCTTGCTACCTTGATAGAGGTTGCTCCCCACAAGCTACTACTCTATACAGTCCTTCCAGAGCAGCAAAGAATTGTCAAAGAGATGACCAGACAGCAGTCTGAGTCCAGACTTTGGTTCAGAATGAGGACTGGCCGGGTGACTGCCTCAAGATTCAAAGCTGCGTCACGGACATGCCCAGATAGTCCATCAAAATCTTTAATTTTGAGCATTTGTCATCCTGAGCTAGGAAAGTTTAGCACTGCTGCTACACGATGGGGGTGTCACCATGAAAAGCAAGCTAGGGATGCATATGAAAGCTTTCAAAGAACTAAACATTAGGCCTTCAAAGTAGAAGAATCTGGCTTCTTCATTAATGTTGATCATGGCTTCTCATTGGTGCAAGTCCAGATGGGCTGGTCAATTGCAAGTGCTGTGGCAATGGTGTCTGTGAGATTAAGGTATTTGATCATGATATATCTAAGCATATAACATAATGGAGTATTAATTATATCAATAATTAGAGCCTTAGCAATTTTTTGTTATTGTATATGTTTAGTGTCCCTATTGCCATAAAGATGACACATTAGACACATCACTAGCTGACAAGGACTTTTGTCTGGAAGAAACACCAGTTAGAAAACGGCTTAAAAGGAAGCATTGTTATTATTATCAGGTACATTTTCAGATATGTGCAAAAATGTGTGGTTAATTGTAATCAGTATCAGCTGAGTCAACACACAAATATATATTGCATACATGTACTAGACAGTAATCTTAGAATGTCATTTTATTTCAGGTCCAAGCTCAATTGTTTTGCAGTGCACGCAGCTATTGTGATTTTGTTGTGTGGAGTGAGAAAATGCTCTACATAGAAAGAATTTTGCAAGATGAGAAGTTTTGGAAAGAAAATGTATCTCGAGTAGTGAAATTTATTATCAAAGGGATCCTTCCCGAGCTGCTTGGGAAATTTTACTCTCGCACACATCAGGAAAAAAGAATACGACTCAATGTATAAAGCTACATACATTAGCAGATCCAGGGTAGGTCAGAATACATTATAGTAGCTAATTTTAAATTCAAAATAATTTAACAGCAATGTTGCTGGTTAGAAATTTCAAAAAAATATTTAAGAACCAGAACATCATCAATAATGTTAGTTGTAAAGTATTTTAAATGGGAAATATATTTATATCAACGTATTCTGACCTACGCTAGATCCACTATTGCCTCTAAATAATAAACATTCATTCAAATGGGACTACTGAATCACACATGTTATTCAATGCACAGCTGACTGTTACTATTTTGTCCAGTGTGGTCTTTCCTTCTTTTGAAACAACAAAGTCTATTGGTTGAGTTGCAGAAAGGATTCCATATTTTTTTCGAATATTGCCAATTACACGTTCCACATGGATTCTTACATTAGCAATCTTCCTAGTTTGTTGCACCTCAATCCCGCTTAATTGCTTTTTTCCTTTTGTAAAAGCTGGTATCTTTACACGAGCACAATACAATCCAACAGATTCTTGTATGTCAAACCCTCTGTCTGCTAGAATTACATCCCCTGGGGTTAGCTTTTCTAGAAGACCACATTCTTCTGTTAAGTGTTTGTCACTGACACGACCACCCCATCCATCAGATATGAAGCTTACACTACCTTGGGGAGTAATTCCTATCAAATACTTGACAGTGTTATGGTGTTTGTATGATGAGTATGTCTGTGCCCTGGCTAAAGGATTAGATGCACGATCAATGAAAATCTCAAAACAATCAATTATCACAGCACATGCTGGGCAGTTCTTGCGAAAATCCATGGGCATTGTTTTTAATAAGGCTTCTCGTTCAGGCCAATGGATAAGTGGACAAAGCCTGCTATGTAGAATATCCATCATTTGAATAAAAACTCTGGAAACAGTTGCTTCATGAATTCCACCAAACCTATAGGCTAAGTCTTTACCAGAAAGGTTGAGTCTCATTCTCATTAATGTAAGAATGAGTCTCTGGAAAGGGCTAAGCATACACCTGGATGATTGTGACAAGAAGCCAGACACAAAGTTGTAAAGGCACAAAAGAAGCTTCCAGGTAGGTAAACCTGTATAGAAGAGTACCTTTTCATCATCATCTTTAAATGCATCCTCATTTAGTTCCTTTTGCAATAATTTTTTCTTTAAATCAGAATTTTCCTTAGAAAATCCACCTCATCTTCAAGTAACCTCAGCTCATTGACAGTTTTATCAGTCTGTGTTGACATTTCATTTCCTTTGGTTCAGAGGTGTCCATTTTATCAACAATCTCATTGGGCTGCTTGCTTGACATTGCTATAAGGGCATTAGCAGTTTCAGATCGTCTCTTCTTTTCAATTATCCCTTGGTAGCGAGACGATCGTTCTGTGTTTATCTTTTTCACATTGTTGTGGCCAAGATTTTGACTTGGTGCCCAGTCTGGGTCATCTTTCTTTTGTAGGTCTGCTGGTTTGCCTGTAGGAATTAATTCATTCTATTTTATGACATTTACAAGAAAGGATGATCGAAACTTAAGGCAAAATCCCATTTGCTGACTGCTTCCTTGCATGGAATACAAAATGCCATACAAAAATATAATACAAAATATACGCAGATAATACAAAGATATTTATCACAAATAACACATTACTTATTTAGCTAACCATTTAGCTGAACACTAGTATCTTGGTACTGATAAAGACAAGTGTTTTTAACCTGATATGAAGTGGTCGCTACACACACGAGCATTCGCAAACTTTTCTGGCGTAAGATCTTCCCTGCGAATTCGTCGAAGCCATTCCTTTTGCCTTTCAAGTTGAAGTTGCTTCTTGTTGACATTCACATTACTTTTGACAGCAGGTAGGCGAAAAAACCGTTTATTCTTTTCTCTATTAGATCGATTCGAGCATGCAAAAACAGCGCAAAAGTGAACCATGATGACCGAAAGTTTTACTTCCTATTACTTATTTATAAATGGCGGCACCTTACTTGACCGGAATGCACACTCGGACATCTAGCAAAAGTAGGCGCATTCGGAAACTTCTTACGAAGATGATTTCCGACACCCGAGGCGTATTTTTCGTATTGCGTGGATTCTGCGTAATAATTTTGCGTGTAAAGCCTTAATTCGTGGCAATTTAAAACTTATCGCGGGAAAATGGAAATAATTTAAAATAGTAAACAGTCTCCGCATATTGTACATCACCACACAAAACAAGCGAAGTTAAATTTCTCTTTATGTTTCCGCTGGTAAACTGTTCTTATAAGAACAAGCACATATTTTTATACATATGAAAATTATTGACATTTCAGCTTCGACTTTATTTAAAATCAAACTGTCTGAACGCTCTGGACTTGTGCAAAATGTAGAGGAAGCAGAAAGTCTCCTTAGAGAGTACGAGTTGGCAAGCACAACTAATTTATGTGGAAATAAAGCAAAAAAAGGATTTGGGAACACAGGTTTGTATTTTTTTCTCAAAATATAACTAATCTATATCGATCTATATGCTTTCCTTATTTCTGTTTTCCAGATCAAATTGTTATATGAAACCTGAATGTTGTCATATTCTTTAATATAAGAAGTACTATAATAATGTCCATGGACATTTGAGTCTTACTATCTTCAGTCTGTCGTTGTGTGTCGAACGAGCAAGGAATAGGGAAACTACACTAATCGCAAAAAAGGTGAAAACCAACTCATAGGTAGTACTTTAGTCTAAAAAAGAGCAAGAGGAAAAGCACAGTTTTTCGTTAAAAAGGTTTCGTTTAATGTGTACAGAATACAACCACGTAAATCACACAGTAATGTTGTATATAATGGTTCAATTTGAACTAAATGAAATCACTTATTCTATTTTTAATCAAAAAAATGTTAGATCTCATAAGTGCCAATCACAAGGTTTGGTGGGAAGATGGCCAGCTTCCATTTGACCATATACCGTTCGTTCAAGTGAACCATAGGGTCTACGATTGTCGTCATGGGGTAGATAGGTATTCAAGCCAAAAGAAGAAAAACAGAACGGTAATATAGATATATTATTCATCTGCTAATGCAATACTACAGATTTAATAAAAGTAAAATGAAAGTGAAACGACGTTGCTAACTTTATAGTACGTTGCAATTAAACTTCCAGTGTGAAGAGCTTTGAGGGAAACTTTGAGTTTTATTGTATTTTTAACATTCTTATGTAATCTTGGTTTCTTTCTTCTTCATGAATTTCTTCAGCTGCCTTTCCTTTTAGGTGTAATTATTTACCAACATGTTTATATCTTTTAGTCAAATTCTAGCGACCACTCGTTTAAGAAGCACAGAAACATGGTTCAAGGAACAAGAAAATTGAACTGTTCAGCACAAGTTCACATGAGAGAATACATCAGATTTCCAGACTTTAGGGTAATTTTAAATAACAGTGTTTATTCGTATGCATTACTCGATCTGTCAGGTGTAAACAACAAAATGTCTGGAGGTGTCCAAATCAATTTGCCTTGAAACTTTACTCACACAGGTTTTTGATAAATTTACGCCTTTAGATTAAAGAGCAAACGGTTTGGCGACAAAAATCGATGTCGAAAAAACTTAGGGAATGCTTACAAAAAGGTGGAAATGCCAATGGAGAAAGGTGGATCCATATCCAGTTGCCTTGCCTATCTGAGCACAAAACTCACCCTATAGGAAGCGTAAGGATATATTTAGTCCTAGTTTTTGTACGGTGCAAGTCAATGTCTTGCTATATTGTTTTTAAACCTTACGTTTTATAATTGGCTCCTTTATATGTAGGCTGGAGGTCTTTATCAAGGAATTGATAAGATGCTTGTTTCCAAGATCCAAGAATTGGTTGTTGCTGGGGCTTGCTCAGTTAAAGAAGTTAGGAGGCATCTTAAAATCTACGTGGAGCAAGACGTGTACAAAGCAACAAAGGCACCCGCTAAAAGCAATCGGAGATTTTATCCTTCCAAACAAACCATACGCAGCCACATTTACAAGGCAGTCATCAAAGAACGATTTTCAAAATTTGACCAAAAAATCTTCAAAAGAAAACTGGAAACTGAGGTGTCCCGACGAGTCTTTCTTCTTTCACCCGCTTGCTAAATATTCAGCATCGTCTTTGATTACTCAAGAAAATAGTGTTGATAACGAAGAAGACGACGATGACGATATTAATGACAACACAGTTTTGCCAGAGTCAAAAAATGGATTGTTATTCATTCACCAGACTGTTGATACAAGGCAAGAGAATTTTATAATTTGCTAATAATATCATTCTTACAGTGCTCGTCAATAATTACAATACATGTTGATTTCGTTAATTTTCTCCCGCGGACAAAATTTATAGAAATGGGTGTGGTAACGAATTTACCCTTCTAGATGCCACTTACAAAACGACAAAATACAGCCTCGCTTTGTTTTTTCTTGTGGTGAAAACCAATGTAAGCTATCAAGTCGTTGGTTCTTTTGTTCTGCAAAGTGAAACATCGTACGCTATTGCGGAGGCTCTTCAAGTTATAAGAGGTTGGAACAACGAGTGGAATCCAGCATATTTTATGGAAGATTACTCTGAAGAGGAAATGTCGGCGATAAACCGAGTATTCCCAGGTTAGTCAAGAAACCTAGAACTAAACTACTTTCAAAGGCACACACAATGCTACACACCTCTTTTGTTTTTAATTGAGGCAGAAACAGGCAAATTTCTTTTTTTGTGGGGTGGAGTAAAAGGTACAATCTAGTCAATACACTTCATGTTAATTGTACGTATATATTACAGAATGTCAGACATACATCTGCGATTTCCATCGAGAGCAAGCGTGGGAGCGATGGCTTTCAAAAAGCAGCAATGGACTGCTCCCGTTAAAAAATATGATTCTTGCAAAACTATGATTAATTACCAGAGCGAGGACGGAGGCTGATTACGAGGAAAATGTTAAAAATTTTAAGTCATCAGAAGAATGGAAGACAAACCCAAAACTGCGCAACTGGATTGGCAATACGTGGTTATCCCAATACAAGGCAAGAGAATTTTATAATTTGCTAATAATATCATTCTTACAGTTCTCATCAATAATTACAATACATGTTGATTTCGTTAATTTTCTCCCGCGACAAAAATTTATAGAAATGGGTGTGGACCTTTCGAAAAGATCGACTGCTAACAGTCATAAACACAAATAATGGCGTGGAAAGGCAAAACAAAGCTTTCAAGCATGAATATTTGGATGGCTACAAGAATTCAACGTTGAGCGTCATGCTGACAGTGCTTATTTTTTTCTTTTTATTTACTTGAACAAGTCTCTTAGGCGATGGCAAAGCCAGCCCGATTTTTTCCTCCAACAAACCAGATTTCTCAGCAAAATTATTGTTCATTTCTTTAGAAATTCGATGCCATTCATTGTCTTTCCATTGATTAAACACAAAAATATATGATTTGTAGAGGTACAAAAAACGGGCTGGGGAATTCGCTGCTGCTGTTAGCGCTAGTATTTTAGCAGCAACAACGTTGGAAATTCTTGTCTAATTTTACAGATACGTTGAATTAAATACGAAATTGCAGAGCAATTACAGGCAGTACAATTATGACGTCCCGTCATACCTTCACGAAAGACCACACTCTATGATTAGGCATTGTATGGAAAGACTTGCATCGTCAGAAGATACCCTTGCATCACACATCATGGTTTTTGACGAAATGCATGGATTTTCAAAGTTCGTAGTCAAGACGGCATATGCAAGTTTTATACATTGTCGTTTGGAAGTGATCCAGGTGATCTTCCAAGCTGTGATTATTATGACTGGGAAAGACACAGGTTGCCATGTAAGCACTTCTTTGCGATTTTCAAGAACTTTCCATTTTGGTCATTTGATAAACTACTGAAGTCGTAAACAGAATCTCTATTTTTAACAGTTGATCGAATAGGTTGCACGTCTGTAATGGAAGCAAAGACATTTGAGGTAAGCCAATGTCACTCCGATGATTCTTCACAAACCGTCAAAGCACCAGAGGAAAACGAAATCCACGTAACTAAGGACAAGAACATTTTCCCCACCATTGTAGCTGAGCTAAAACGAAAGCCATCTTCACATAGAACAGAAGCCGCAAGGTGCAGAGAACGGTTGGGACAAATAAAGAATTTAACTTATGTTGCTGAGGGATGGGGAAATGGCAATGTTTTGCATGAAGTAAAGGTCAAATTGGATGAATGTTATAAAATACTGACTGATGTTTCTCCAAAGGAAAATGGTTTAGTGTTGGAAGTGCCAGATACAAAGAAATCTGCCCCAAAATGTAGCATCAAAAATAGCAAGTGTTTAGTAAATCCGTTTAAACCCATCCCAAAACCGGCAAAGAAAAATCCCTGGTCAGGTCAAAGTGGTGCAAAAGCAGCAACTTTAAAAAGAAGTTATGCTTCAACATTAACAGAAATAGAAGGAAAGCTAGCAAAGATTGGACGAAATGATTCAAATATTGTGACAGATGAAATAAACTCTTCCCATTGCAGACCTATTGAGCCCTTGAACAAAGAATCAGGTGATAAACTGGAAAAGATCGTTCAGACCCCAAAGCGTGGATTTTTTAAGCTTAGTGACATTGACATAAATATAATCATCACCAGAAAAGAGTTAACAGATAACATCATTGGTGCTGCACATAATGTTTTGCAGAAACAATTTCCTGTCGTACTTGGTTTAGAAAACACAACACTTGGCCCTGTTACCAATTTTTCTGTACATCGGGGTACTTTTTTCCAGATTCTCCACAGAGGTACTCATCACTGGGTATTGGTTTCAAATATTGACTGTCAGCCTGCTTCAGTCAATTTATATGACAGTTTGTACCATGGAAGAGTCAGTTCTTTAACAACAAATTGCCAACCTACTCCATGAGCCATCACCATCAATCACAATCAACATACCACATGTCCACTATCAATCCAATTACGTTGACTGTGGGGTGTTTGCAATTGAATTTCTTGTGTCATTACTTTTTAACCAAGATCCAACAACTTTGATGTATAATGAAGGTTCCATGCGATCACACTTGTTGAGTTGTCTGAAAAAATATGAGTTCACTCCTTTCCCTTCGACAAAGAAAAGGAAAATTGATGACAAGAGTCAAATCCAAAGAAAATTGAAATTTTCACTGATGTGCTACTGTCGAATGCCATGGAACCAGAAAGATGTGTTTATATATATCTAATTTTGATGAAGTTAACACGCTACAATATACTCGTATTTGGTGTCAGATTAAAGATCTTGCTATGAGGATTACAAATATGTTTTTATTATTGTGGCCGAAATTCCAGGAACGAATCTACAGCTTGAGAAATGTGGAGACTTTTTGCGTTAATTAATATTTGCGGTACTTAACTGACATGTTTATATACATGTAATTTTGATGAAGTTAACACGCTACAATTTACTTGTGTTTAGTATCGTCTTAAAGATCTTGCTATGAGGATTACAAATATGTCTTTATTATTGTGGCCGAAATTCCAGGAGCGAATCTACAGCTTGAGAAATTTGGAGACTTTTTGCGTTAATTAATAGACAAGTTGTCATGTTGCATTATTTCACTAACGTCTAAATATGCCGGGTTTTGAACTAGTTAACACGCTGCATTATACTCGTATTTGGTGTCAGATTAAAGATCTGGCTATGAGGATTACAAATATGTCTTTATTATTGTGGCCGAAATTCCAGGAGCGAATCTACAGCTTGAGAAATGTGGAGACTTTTTGCGTTAATTAATATTCGGGGTACTTAACTGACATGTTTATATATATCTAATTTTGATGAAGTTAACACGCTACAATTTACTTGTGTTTAGTATCGTCTTAAAGATCTTGTTCTGAGGATTACAAATATGGTTTTATTATCTTGGTCCAAATTCGTGAAGCGGTTCTACAGCTTGAGAAATGTGGAGACTTTTTGCGTTAATTAATAGGCAAGTTGTCATGTTGCATTATTTCACTAACGTCTAAATATGCCGGGTTTTGAACTAGTTAACACGCTGCAATATACTCGTATTTGGTGTCAGATTAAAGATCTTGCTATGAGGATTACAAATATGTCTTTATTATTGTGGCCGAAATTCCAGGAGCGAATCTACAGCTTGAGAAATGTGGAGACTTTTTGCGTTAATTAATATTCGCGGTACTTAACTGACATGTTTATATATATCTAATTTTGATGAAGTTAACACGCTACAATTTACTTGTGTTTAGTATCGTCTTAAAGATCTTGTTCTGAGGATTACAAATATGGTTTTATTATTGTGGCCGAAATTCCAGGAGCGAATCTACAGCTTGAGAAATGTGGAGACTTTTTGCGTTAATTAATATTCGCGGTACTTAACTGACATGTTTATATATATCTAATTTTGTTCTGAGGATTACAAATATGGTTTTATTATCTTCGTCCAAATTCGTGAAGCGGTTCTACAGCTTTGGAAATAGTTTTCTTTTTTGGTTTAATTAATTTGTGCGTTATTTAAATGAGATGTACTTATGTCTAATTTTGAAGTAGTGGTAAACACGCTGCAATCATTTTTCATTGGGTACCATTTTAAAGATGTGATTCTGAAGATTGGAAAGATGTTCTGATTATCGTGGCACAAGTTCGAGGAGAGAATCTACGGCTTATGAAAAGAACAACACTTTTGTGCTATATAATTTGTTGCAATATAATTAGAACATATGTGTCTTATTTATTTCGTCGAATTGTTGAGTTTATGCTAATTTATGCAAACGTCATTTTAAGAATTTCACGGTTTAAAACCTTTGTCGTATCCTGTGTTTGCGTCTTTCATGACTGATCGTTGAATCGTTGATGTCAACGGTTTTCCTGTATTATCGAAGCAATTATTACTTTTGCGATAAAAGTTAATTCAGGATTATATTTGAATCTTTTGTGCTCTTCTCCTTTTCGTGTAACGCTAAATGATGAAGGTACGTTATCGCTTCTTCTTGTCTTACGGTCGTTCATGTCCTTAATCATTCACTGCATTTGTTTGTGCTTTTCAGCGCACTGCTGGTCGTCCATCGAAATACACGTTTGACGTGAATGCAATTGTTGCAGCTATGTCAAATGTGTCTGGT